AAAAAGATGAAGATGAACTTGAAGAACTTGAAGAACACCCTTGAAGAGGGTTTAAAGGAAAAGGAAGAGAAGTTGGGAGAAAAAGTAGAGAGAATCCAAAGGATTATGGATTAATTGGGTGAGAAATATGGTAACCTTAGCCTCCTATTTATACCCAAAATGGGCACAAAAAGACAAAAGAACTAAGCTTGGAGGCTAAGTTTACCAACACTAGTTACATTACAACTAAAGTGAAACTAGCAAGTACAATTCATAACTAAAGTTTAACTAAATAGTACAAAAGCTAAACTAGAGAGTACACAARCTTAACTAGAGAGTACATCTGATTTTCTACTAAAAATCCAGCCCATTTACAGYTGTACTCCACCTCCAAAAAGCCAACGTCTTGTTCATTAAGCCCTCCAAAAAGTCGTGCAAGACCCAGGCCAACGYTGCACCAATGCTGTAGCATTTGCTGTTTTCACAAAAACTCTTAATTAGCTTCAATTTTGCATGCCATCAAGTCAACCACAAYATTTAGCTTCATAATAACAAAAGTATAAAGAAATAAATGAAAAGGACTCAAAGTGTGAATGAAAAGAAATTATTATAACTAAAACAACGTAAAAAGAGCGYTTTATGTGTTAAATTCTCAACACATATCATACCCCCAAACTTAAACCGTTGCTTGTCCTCAAGCAACCAAAAGACAAATATAAAAACTCAATATAAAAAAAATGCATGATCTAGGCATTAAGTGTCTTCCCAAAGAGAGTTATAGCATCATGATGTTCATAGCCTTTCATAAATCTAAGATGAGTCACTCAAAACCAAGTTCTTTGTGTGAACCATAGGCTAGCATTCCCTTTTCTTCGTTAAGTTCAAACACAATCACCATTTTAGGATCAATAGGGCTTATRGGGTTTTCTCTCATTGGCGTATCTTTTCTCTCATTGCCTTTTTTCTAATATACTCCACATATAAAATTTTTAAATTTTTGGGCATTTTGGCCTCTTTTGCTTGGAGTGTGCACATAGCCCCTATGGGACTTTTGTTGTGCCTTTTCATAACATTTTCTAAAACACATAGCCCCTATGGGACTTTTGTTGTGTTTTCAATACCCTTTGTGTGATAAGGAGTCAATTTAGAGTGCTCTTTTGTATTGACTTTATGTCCTTATGTGAACTCCTCCCCTAAACTTAAATATGACAATGTCCTCATTGGCGTTATGCGGGGTAAATGGTGTTTAAAGGGTGCAAGTGGCTAATATGAGCATAGAAAAGATGGCCTATCTCATTTC